CCTGTGGGCAGCAGTAATGACTCCTCCCTCCATGTCCCTGCCAGTCTGTCATGGTGGCGGCCGCCTGCCAGATTCCCAGGCTCCAGGTCTGGCTCTGCCAATACCTCCCATGCGATCTGGAAGGTTTCGCCCCCTCTCTGCACTGTTTCCCTACAGGAGCTTGGCACATGCCATTACATAACTGGTGAATATCATGATCCCTGATTGAGGCTCAGAGAGAGTAAGTCACTTGCTCAAGGTCACAAAGTCAGTTCTGGAACCCAAGGAACCACTTGGAACTCTGCCATACTGCCTTCCTGTGACCAGTTAGTGATGCAGCCACAGCACTGCCTGGGGGTGGAGGCGAGGACACACTCTGCTGGCCAGACCTGCAGTAGAAACTCTTAACCATTCCCTGTGACACCCAGCTCATGGCCTGTTGCCTGAACGCCGCCTGCATGGCATTGGTCGACGCAGGTGTGCCCATGCAAGCCCTCTTCTGTGGGGTCACCTGTGCCCTGGACTCTGATGGGACTCTCGTGCTGGACCCCACAGCCAAGCAAGAAAAGGTAGGTATGAAGGCCAGGGTGGTGAAGGGCTGTCATGGTGGCGGCTGGCTGGCTGCCTACCATTGTCCTGGGCTCTAGGTCTCACTGCCAGGAGAGGGCTTCTCTAGACCACGCTTCTCTACAGCAGTTGGCTACCAGCTCAGTCCCAACTAGCAAGGTCTGCTTTGCTCATCAGGGAAGTGCAAGAAACCCAACTCAAACTGCTTGAGCAAAAGGGAATTTATTGACATTCGATGCCAAACTCAGAACAGAGATTGAGCCAGAGCCAGGGCCAGGGCCTCAAATGCCATCAGGATTTCCTTCCTTTGTTAGACTGCTTTTCTGCATATCAGATCCATTCTCTGGCCAGCATCTCTCCTGAGCCTGCAACTAGCCCCTTAAGCTCTGTGCTTACATCTTAAGAGGCTCAGAAGCAGAGGAGGAGGGAGCGTTCCTGAAGGGTTCAAGTTCACAGTGCCCCAGGGCTGTGGTTACTTTGAGTTATTTGCCCAGTCACATCCAGTCAGGAAAGCAGAAACCACCTGGAGGATTTCCCACGGAGAGTTTAATGCAGGGAACTGGTTACAACAGTGTTGGAAGAGCTGAAGGAGCAAAAAGGAAGAAGGAAGGTCACCCAGAGATCAGGAGCCTGTAGCCAACTTGCACTTAAGCTATTAAAGGCATCACTGCAGCCAGTTCTAGGTGCATAGACATCCTGGCTTTGCACTGGCTACAGAAGTCCAGAACCTGTCGCACCCCCACGGCTACTGTGGCAGCTGCCACAACCACAACACCTGCCATTAACAGAGTAAGGACCCGGATGCTGTCCCTCCTGCCAGTCTCCCAGCAGAGAAACTAGGAGGTGCTGGTAAATGACGTGCGCTGTGACCACCCTACAGGCAGGGATACTGCTTGGAAGCCTGTCGGGATTATGTGGATGGAAGCAGGTGTAGATCCAGAGGAAAGGCAGGAAGCCAGGAGGGGTAGTATAGACAGACAGCCACACTGCATGCAAGAGCACCTGCCTGCAGGGAAGGCGAGTCCCTTCTTGGGATCAGCTGAGAGTGTGGATCAGGGGAGATCCAGGTCCCTCACCCTCTTCCCTCATCCCTAGGAGGCCCGGGCAGTCCTGACCTTTGCACTCGACAGTGTGGACCAGAAGCTGCTCATGTCCACCACCAAGGGGCTCTACTCCAATGCTGAGGTACCAGCATGCAGATGCGGGTGAACCCTAGCTCCACCCCCCCCCCATGTGTTGTCCCAACTCTGCCCTACACTCAAGGGTTCAAGGAAAACCCCCTCCTTGCATTCCTTCTGTAGATAGAGTTTGTAAACTTTGTAGCCACAGAAACCTCTGAGAATTTTAAAGGGGAAGCCCAATTAATGAGACGGGAAAAGAGGAGAAGAGCTCAGGTTGAAATCAGGAGGTGGGGGTACCTGAAGGCCCCCACCAGCTTCCAGTTCAGAGCAGTGCTCCCCTCCCCCATCCCAGGTCTGAAGAGTTTGGAAACTGTTGGGCCAAATGGTCTCCAAAAGCGTTTCCAATCTGGACTCCTGAGAATCTAGGGATTTGTGGCAATACAGATTTGGGGTCTCAGATTCCATGGCTCTCAGCATTATTCAGTGTCACGGGGCCTGTGGCTCTAAAATTCTAGGATCTCTCCAGATCCATGAGCTGAGCTCTAAGTTTCCAGAGCTACGGTCTCTTCCAGCTGCCAGAATGCCTGATCCTGTTGATGTGAGGCCTTGAAGCCGCCGGAAGCTGGTCCCTGAACCCCTCACTTTCTCTTTTTTCCTTCACTTCCCCTCTAAAAGGTCCTACAGTAGAGAAGAAGGAGATGCATTTGGAATAATCCCCTCCCCGCCTGCCTCACCTGGGAGTAGGGGTGGGGGAGGGTGGCCAGGTGAAGGGGGAAGTGGTAGGTTTGTGGACCCTAGAAATCAGATGGGCCAGCCAGGCCATGTAGGTGCAGGGATGCCCCCCACGTCCCCCGCACTGACCAGTCTCTCCCCACCCAGCTCCAGCAGTGCCTGGCTGCAGCCCAAGCTGCCTCACAACACGTCTTCCGCTTCTATCGGGAATCACTGCAGAGGCGTTACTCCAAGAGCTGAGGCAAGTTGGGGCAAAGTGCCCCACCCGCTGCCACCACCCACTACCTCAAGCACAAAATAAACCAGCAGCCCAGCCTTGCCTCTCCGTCTTTGTGTGCCTGGGGAGCTTGTGGGCCTGTAGCTGCAGGGCCCCTGACCTGGCCACCTGAGGAGAGCACTTACCTGCAGCCCCCCACGGTTGGGGGTTGGGGAACACGGACACCCCCACTGGGAAAACAGTACTAGGATTGCACATTTATTGAATGAATTCATTTAGTCTAACATATCTATTGAGCGAGCACCCACTTCTCAATAGTGAACAAGACCCAGCAGTGAACGAGAAACCCAGGTTCGAGGAGTACTGGGGTGATGGGCAAATAAAAAGTCAGATGATGGTAAATGCTGTGACCAAACAAAAAAGCAGGGAAGAGGGGCTGGGGGTATGCAGATTTAATACATCAGTCAGGGACACCTTCATAGAGGGGATAGCTGAGGGAAGCCGGGCAGCAGGCTCATAGACCTGGGGACAAGCCCCAGAAAGAGACCCATGGAAGTGGAGGACCAGCAAGGCTGCCAGTGTGGCTGGAGCTCAGCACATGAGGACAGGAGAAGGAAAAATGGTCGGAAAGAACATGGGCTTGGAGAGGGTCTGTCTCTGAGCCCAATAACCCAGTGAGGTGGGGCTGTTATAAAGTCCACATTTTAAGATGAAAAGCTCAGAAGCCAGTTTGCTGCCAGCAATGGAGCATGGGTCCCACTCAGCCCCGCCCCAGACCCTAAATCAGGGGTCCTCAAACTTTTTAAACAGGGGGCCAGTTCACTGTCCCTCAGACCGTTGGAGGGCCGGACTATAGTTTAAAAAAAACTATGAACCAATTCCTATGCACGCTGCACATATCTTATTTTGAAGTAAAAAAACAAAACGGGAACAAATACAATATTTGTATTTGCATGTGGCCCGTGGGCCGCAGTTTGAGGACCCCTGCCCTAGATGTTCACACAAACCCAGGGAGGCCAGCACACTCAACTGTGGTTCCTCATCCGCACAGGGATATGACAGGTCTGCTGGTTTTCAGGGCTGGTAGCACCCCCTAGGGGGCATTTGGAAATACACGGGGACATTTTTAGTTGCCATTTGCTCCCCCATCCTTTTATTTAGTGGGCAGGAACCAAGAGTATGTGAGCATCAATCGAGGGAAAAACTCCCACAAGTGGGCCACCTGGTTGCCAGGTCCCGTTGGCCACTTATGCTTGGGGGTTCGTGATGGGCCCTGTGCTGCAGGCTTCACATGTTTGAACTAGCTCGCAGTTCCCACAGCTGCCCCTTTGGGCAGAGCCATGTTCATTCTGGAAAGGGAGGAAATGCATAAATATGTCTAGTTTGCAATTGTGCTCCATGAAATGCTCAGCAGGATGCCAAGTGGGGAAGTGCTCTAGGAAGATCCACTGGGATGGCAGTAAACGGAGTGAGAAAACCGAATTGTCACTCATTGCTTGGTAATATTAAGCCCCATTTAGTGAGCATATCAGCCCCTCTGCAAAGCACTGTTCATGGCGGAACTCCATTCTACCTGCCAAAAGCCAGCACTTTGATATTACCTTAAGGAAGACTCCATTCTCCCCACCCACACGCCCAGTGTCAGGCCGTGTGATTCAACTGGGGCTGCCTCTGCGTGGGCCCCTGGGAAAGGGACCTCTGGAGTCCTCTGAGTTACCGCAGCCGATTTTCTCCTCCAGAAGGGGGAGCCTGCGTGGAATGGAGCCAAGAAGCTGGAGTGATCAGAACATTCATTTCATTTGAGTCCTGAATCCTGCTCTACCTTATCGTGTGTGTGTGTGTGTGTGTGTGTGTGTGT